AAAAAAAGGATGTGTAAATACAGTAAATTATTTTTAGAGATTTTTGAAAAATAAACATGACCACTGTTAATATTTGGCTTTATTACCTTATCATGGGCCAGAATTAAATATCTAAGTAGGATCCTTGTTTGAAACCATGCTGAACGTATTTACTGGGTCATGAAACATCGGTAAAGCAAACAACAGAAAAGAAGCTCATGTCAACAACTTATGGCTAAGTTATAGTTAGCTTAGTTTAGCTAGGTTATAATTTAACTGTATTATGAATTAAATTCCATGAAAATTTAAATAATTTCAGATTTTATTCTGGACATTGAAGAAAAAAGACAATCTGACATTTTAAATGAAATAAATCATTGTTTAAAAGACACAAACAGCAATGTGGGAGAAAAACATCAATGCTGAATGCTACAAGTGCACAAATATGAAGTCAGCGTGGTGCTGCAGTGAACGCATCAGTTCACACAATATTTCAGAAATACTATTTCATTAAAATGTCTTATATTGTTTCTTGGTCTTGTAAATTTATTTTTCTTCAGTCATTTCTGAAACAAAGTCCACACTGAATGCCGGCTGTGCATCTGTGGTCGTGTGAAGCTACATTAATGTAACAGCATGCCAGAGTGTAAACACAGATATTTATCTTTTTTCCGTTTCATTAGGCATTTAAACCAAATACTAAAACACCCTGATACGACTCAGAGTCAGACTCAGAGTACTATACATTTTATAGTACACTTAGCATAAAGAACAAAACAATGCACGAACTGGTAATTAAAGCCCTTGAAGGAATAAATCATATACATTAAAATATTGTATTTTCAGAACAACTACATTATGTGACTGTCTGTGTGCAACTTACAGCTATAAGCACTTGATATTAAATATATGCATGCTAAAACATGACAGACAACAAAGGCAGAGTACTTAGGCACAGAAATGTTTTTACATGTTGTCAATTGAGCTTCTTGTGGCTTACATTTAACTACAGCTACTTATTCTTTCCTTCATCATAACAATCAGCTGTTTTTGTGTGTGAATACATTCATGTGAATTTCCAAAGCTAACTGAAGGACAATCATGTGGTTAGCAGCGCTGACTAAAGTTCAGTGGTACAAGGTTTGTATTAAAATACTAAATATTCAAGTTCACAGGTCGGGGCATGTTGTGTCATGCTTTAGCCCAGCGAGTGTTGCTTCTTCAGGTTCTCTGTGCGCTTCACCCTCTCCTCTGGGGTCTTTCTGTACCAGCTCCTAAGAGAAAAAAGTCACTGTGGTGACTTTAAATACGTCAAAAGCAGGGTGTGTCTGAAGACTGCTGTTTTCATGAATATGCGATTCAGGCAATTGGTGTTTTATAAAAAGTGTTTTACAATCTGTACCAGTACAGACTCACCCCTGACGGTTAAACTGTCCTGGGACAGAGGCATTTTGTCCTTGGCTTGGCTTCAAGACTCTAGGAAAGGAATAATGAATTTATCTAAACAACGTCTGGGGACAAAAATCTAGAAATTACATCGAGGGAAACACAAAATGAATTAAAAAGTAATAAAATCCCACAGCTGTGTCTCACACCTGTTGGTAGTGGGGCTTTTTGGCTTCTGCTGCATCTTCCTAGTCTGTGCTGGAGATTCACCAACCCTAAAGAAGCACCAGATACACCACTGATCACTGGATCTCAACAGCATGAACGTAAAACACGTGTTTTCATTTCTTGTCTTACTTCTTTTTCCTGTCCAGAGACCTCTGTGTGGCAGCAGAAAGAGCCACTCTCTCTTTGGGACACTTGGCTTTCTCCTGTTGGAGTGAATGTAGTTTATAGTTTATTTTAAAAAAAACAACTCAGAATACTGAAAAAGTCAAAGACAGTCACAAACCAATTTCTTACAATTGCTTTTGTGAGAAGGTGCTATATTACAAACAATGCATTAATAACAACAAGATAAGCCACGAGTGTCTGGACGAACCTTTCCAGACACAGAATGCATGGCTTCATAAAACTTTCTCCAGTGTTTGAACAAACTAAAGCTTAGTTTATAGGCTCTAGAAGGACAGAGGGATATTTTCAGTGACAATAACGATCACCTTCTCTTGATTAAATCTGGATACTTGATTATTTACTTGACTGTGTTCATGTTACCATGTCTCGTAGCTTCCTCTCCACACGGAGCTCTCTGTCCTGCTGCAGTAATGCTAAGCGATCCTCCAAAGGCATTTCAAAGAAGATGTCATGGATGTCATACAGGGCTGCACGTAACTGAGGGAACAACAAACAAGGAGAAACATAAATAACGATGGCCCTCTGCTGGCTATAGAGGTTTAGTACACAGTCATACCTGGGCTCTAACTCTCTCCTGCAGGGCGAGATCTTGTGCTGTGTAGGTGCTTCTCTTCTGTAGAGCTTCAGTTTGAAATGAACGGATGAACTCCTGCGTATCCTTAAGGCACACATATAAATACAGAGAGAGAGTGCACAGTTAGACACACTCAGTCACTAACGTCATAATCTAAAATGAAACTTTCTAACACTCCTGTAACTCTTTTATTGTGTATGAAGGCATGAAATGGAACTCACCATGATGGTTTGGCGGAGGTGTTTGACTTTCTCCGTTTTAAGCAGTCTGCGTGTGAGGAAGCCGCGAGTGATAGCACCAATTCTGCAAAATGCTTTCTGCTGATCAGCTGTCAGAACCTGGGAGAAAGTAATGAAGAACATGGAGAAAATGTGAGATATTAAGATAAATGATATCAGTCTTCACATACATACACGTTTTCTGATTTAATGGACAAAAAATAGACTCAATTACAATAAAAGGTTGCTGCAAAACTGCATACCAAGAAGCTTCTATTTGGTCTTTGCTTTGAAGATTTACAACAGTTCACAGCGTTATGGATGTAACAGAGCAAAAGAAACAATGGTACTTACAATATACATCAGATTTATATGCACTTATTATATACACTTTACAGTATATATACTACATGTACTTAAAGGTTTAATGAGCTCAGCCAGTGTGCTGAAGTTTGGATTTGGCTGCCAATGCTATTCCTGTTTTGCAGTGTTTACACACCAGACTTTGCCTGGCCCGAGGTTTGTTAGCCCCCCACATGGAACCCCACAGATAAAGAGGAGGCTGAAGACATGGAGAGGATGCACTAGAAGGGACAGGACTGGGCAAACCTGGAGAAAGAAACAGTAGATATTTTAAAGACGCAGCTGAAACGAGTAGCATATCCCATCAACAAACACTAGCATTTTTTTTTCTGATATTATAGGACACAGAATTTAGAAGGCAAATAACAGACAATAACAATGACCGAAAACATTAAAAAGTAATCACTGTTGTTCTTCAGCGAGTAGTCAGTGTATCTGATCTGTTTCTCTACTCCCTGACTTCACCTCTAAGCTATATTTGTGCTGATGTGTGAAATGCTGTTTGTATGAAAAACAAAAGCTCTAACAACAAAATGGACTTCCAGTTTAGTGAGGAAAACACCATCCTTATATTAATAAAAACAATTATGTCTCTTACTGTCTTGTATATAATTAAGGGACAGTTCTGGTTCATTTAAAAGGTCATTTCACCACCCTTTTTCTGGCAGCCTATGGTAGTAACTGTTAGGTTGAGGGACACATGACGCTGTAAACAATTCAGCCAGAAACTTGGCCTGATCACTTCCAATGATGTTAACCTATAATTTTCTTCCGACCGCTGCATGTGGAACATTGATCCAGGTCTGCTTTTCACCTAAAAGTGACAAAACTAAGACATTTTCATTATTCTCATTACTGCCTAAACAACACACATCTCTCTCTCTCTGTGTTTTAAACTCTCCTTTCTTAAAAACAGAAAATGAGATTGTAGTTGTTCTTGGCTGAGAAACACAAAACCGTTTTCCTATTATTATTTTTCATCAACAATGTAAATTTTGTTTCTTTTTTTCTTTTTTCCCCCCCACTACGATAGCTGGTGACCTGCAGAATCACCTCTCATAGTTGGAGCAACGTCAGGCACATTCACACTCACTTTTTTCCTCTGCATAAATAACTCACATGGCCAATGGTATGCGCCATGGTGATCCATAAGTATGCTCACAAGTTTATTTAGTTATTTTTCAACCCAACAAAACAAATAAGCAAAAACATGATGCTGATGCTATGAACGCTCTACACACATGAATCTAGATGCAAGAAAACTGCTGCGCATCTGAGGTGTGAGGAAGAAACTGAACTCTCAGATAGCTGCATGCTCGAGTTATCATAGCTCTGTTTGCCTCCCTCTGATGCGTTCTCAGCCAGCTCCTGCTCTGATCATGTGTAGCCTGCTCATCAGCTCAGAAGTGACCGCAACGCAACCTCACACAGTGGTTGCGTGCTTTGCTGCACACAGTGGCAAACACTTGCACAGTGACTTTCATATTTAATTCAGCTTCTCCATCTCATAATTTTAGCTGTTGCATATAGGGTTTAGCATATTAGTTGTTTGTATAGATGTGCTCTATATCTCAACAATGGCTCATTTTAGGATGACAGTTTTTCAAACATGTCAAGTGCCTCTATGCACTTCATCAGTTTAAATATTCTCCTAATTTACTTCATCTAATATGTCAATGTACTGAATTTGAGCTAACCTTAGCTTAATGCAGATAACCTTTAACAATTATAATCTAAACATTTTGTTTCAGCAAGGGGTGGGTGAAAATGAACCATGACATTCATGTGTCTTTTGTGAACACTTTTTACAATCCTGAGCACAGAAGTTTATTAAAACAATACCTATACTGTGTCCAGGTGATCGTTCTGATGGTGTGTGAACAGGACTTAGTCCCGGGCACGAGGGGCTCATGATAGGATGGCAGTCGTTCACAGACCTACGATTCCAGCCACAAGCATCTGCACTTAGAGGACGCACAGACCCCTGCTCCTTCAGCCTTCTCTCTGTCTCCTCAAGCTCCTAAACACACCGCACACAACATTATTTGTATTTCACTAATGCTCTGCTCATAATCTTTTTAAAAAGGCATATAAAACTCAGATGTACACACACACACACACACACACACACACACACACACACACACACACACACACACACACACACACAAAGAAAGAAAAATAAAATAAAGAAAATAAAGTTTGGCATTGTAGTTAAACATATTAGGTTTTGGTGTAGCTTTTCATGGTCATTTAAAAAAAGAACACTTTTTTTCTGATCTACTTCTATATAAAATGGTCACTGTTAAATTCCATGTGCTGACCAGGAGGAGGCGCTGTTGCTCTTTCTCCTGCTCAGCGAGGAGCAGAGACATCTGCAAAGCATGCTCCTTCTCAAGACGTCTTTGCATGTCCTCCAGAGCCTGCGCTCGCCACTGGTTCTCATCTGTTAATAAGCACAAATGCATACAAATAAATCATCTTTTACCATGTCAGAGTTTTACTCACTTAACATAAAATATATAAATGTGGGAATCAGAAATCTCTGTGGGAGTTACGCAGTTGTAAACATAAAAAAAATAAATAGCTTACATCAAAGGCACTCACCTGTCTTGCGGGCCTGTGCTTCAGCTGCATGTCTGAGGACAGTCGGTGTTTTCCTGCCATTGTTTGGCCCCGGAGATTCGTCTGCAGGAGTCACACAGGGCCTCAGCAGAGGCAGTGAAGGATTCTCTACATCATACGACTGGTTTAAAGGGGCTGCAGGTGTGCGCCGACTGGGAGCAAACAGTGTAACTCCTGCCATGAAGCGAGGGAGGCGTTCCTGGCTGCGGTCTATGCGCTCCGCTCCAGAATGGTAGGTATGCAGCTGGCTGTCCATAGTGTGGCAGCGCCGGCGAAAACCTGCAGCCAGGTGATCACCCATTGAGCTGGGCACCGAGGCACTGACAGGGTTACAGTTCTCCTTCACTGGACTGGTTCCACAGTGGCTGGATCGACGAATGCCACTCTGGCTGACGCCCTCTATTCCCACTGAGCTCCAGTGAGATGGAGACGTTGAAGCATCTCCCCAGTCTGCCACACCAATGGCTTCCTCTGACCGTCCTGGGCTTCGAGCGATAAGGTCTGCTGGGCCGATGGGAAATGAAAAATGGATGTTGCCTGTGGAAACTGGGCGTGGTTTGCGTCTCTGTGGACGAGGACTTATGCTGGTCTCTGGATTGGGGAGACAAGAAAATGGTTCTGGTAGACTAGGTGAGAGGCAGATGGACTTTTGAGGACTAGGGTCACGCAGCACTTGATGCTGGATTTGAGGCGGGCCGACAGGGCTGTGGTGCAGACTGAATCCAAACTGAATGCCTGTGTCCGTCACAGGGCTGCAGCTCTTCTCTTCACTGACAGAGTCAGTCTCAGGTGGGGGAGACTGGGTCATTGCGCGGACAGCTTTTGATCCCTGCTGACTCTGCTCTTTCTTCACATACTCCCTTGATCTCTTAAGAAGGCTGTCCAAACTAATGTCCTCTTCCTCATCCTCTTCTTCCTCCTCCTCACTCTTCTCTTGGGCATCCACCTTCACTTCCTCCACTGCCTTATAATCATTAAGCACAGGAATCTCAGAGCATGGAGCAGCACGATGACTATTTGTCTGAACCCCAAATGCAGAATCTATGGGGAGCCCAGGTGAGTCAGTGACCAGAGTGTAGCCGTTGACTGTTGCAGATTTAGAAACTGGCAACTTGTCAACCTCTTCATCTGGTACTTTAAGTACCTGTGAAACATAAAAAGCAGTATTTCACCAAAGAATTTCATTAAAACGCATGTAAGCTCAGCATACAGGCAAATCAAGTGATAATTATGGTCTGTAAATAATTAGCTTATTTGTTGATGTTACTTTTTTAATGAAAATGTGATTACATGCTTGAGTTTTGGTTGTTCCATTGTGAATGATAACAGACAAAATCTTTAGATCACATTTGTTCAAAGACTGGGAATTACGAAAGTAGAGCAAATCTGACACTGAGTAAATGAACAATACTGCTTTGAATCTTGAGCTGTTATGAAAACACGTCATCAGGTAAAAAATAGCACGGCACACTGGGGAAAATGTTAGGCCAGATAACCTGTATTCAACTCTGAGTATGTCACCAGAGACAGTAGGACAGACTGTAATTCACTTTATGTGCTCCATTATGGGACTGGCACACAAACCTATTTAATATATACTATAGGTCAAAAGCCCCAAAACTATTTACATTCAGTAAAAGCAGGACGCGATGTCAGCACAATAATATTAGCACGAGAGTCCAGCACTTTTTCAGAGTGCCTACATAACATTATACAACCCCAATTCCATGAAAGTTGGAATGATGGTGACAGATAAATACAACAGAATGCAATGATTTTCATATATGTCATTGCCAACAGAACATGGAAAACATATCAAATATATTTACTATTTAATCAAAAATATTAGCTAAATTTGAATTTGATAGCAGCACCACACCTAAAAACAAGGTGGGACATGGGACCACAACTAATAACATTAAAAGGTTTAGAGGAAGGTTTCCAGAAAAGCAGGTTGAAGTTCTTGTATGCAAAGAAGAAGCTTTATATGGACATGATCATTTAAAATAGACTGAGGCAAAGTGGAAAACAATTCTGTGGTCAGACATATTGAAATTCTTCTTGGAAAACATGGACGCCACACCTGGACTAAAGAGGCAAGAGACCATCTGGCTTGTTATCAGCACTCAGTTCAAAAGCCTGCATCTCTGATGGTGTATGCAGTTCTTACAGCAACACACACTCCTATCTATGTATTTTGGGGGAAGGTCTTGCATATTTCTTGCATATTTTAGCAAGACAATCATCATCATTTATTTATTTATATAGCACTTTAAAAACACACCTGGTAGACCAAAGTGCTGTACAATACTAATATGCACATAGTAATAAAACCAGACATAGCAATAAAAAAAATAAAAAGAATATCAGTTACCCACAGAGTTAAAAGCCAGGGAATAAAAATAGGTTTTTAATAAAGACTTAAAAACTGGCACTGATGTAGCCTGTCTAATATGGAGAGGAAGGTTATTCCAAAGCATCGGCGCAGCAACAGAGAACGCTCGGCCTCTAAGTTTCAGCCGTGACTTTGGGACCGAAAGCAGCGACTGCTCAGCTGACCGAAGGGAACGAGTGGGGACGTGGGGCTTCAACAAGTCAGACAAATAAACAGGTGCCAGACCATTTAGAGATTTAAAAACCAATAAATGGACTTTTAAACGGATCCTGAATTCAATTGGAAGCCAGTGTAAAGAGGCCAAAATCGGAGTGATGTGATCAAATTTTCTTCTGCCAGTTAAAAATCGTGCCGCAGCATTTTGCACTAATTGCAGGCGTGACAAAGTGCCCTGCCCAACCCCTATTAAAAGAGAATTACAATAATCTAAACGTGAGGTAATAAAGGCATGAATAACACCTTCCAAGTCACGCTGGGAAAGAAAGGGCTTAACCTTTGATAAACGTCTGAGGTGATGAAATGCTGATTTTACCACCCCGTTTACATGGTCATCAAAGGTAAGTGCAGAATCAATTTTAACTCTGAGTTTTGTGATCGAACTCTTTAGTTGGGAAGTCAAAGCTGCAAGATCAACATCTGGAGTATGAGAAGAACGATTTGGGCCAAATAAAATTGCTTCTGTCTTCAGATCATTAAAATTTAAAATGTTTTTTGCCATCCATGCTTTGACATCAGTAAGGCAGTCAAGCAGAGGTCGAGTTGGGAGACTATCAGAATGACTAAAAGGTAAGTAGAGCTGGCAGCCATCTGCGTATAGATGGAATGGCACTTTATGTTTCCGGAAAATATGACAATACGCATGCTGCGTATAATACAACATTACAGAGTGGTAAACATGGCCCTCTCACAGTTTTTGAGACTTGTTACTGCCATCAAAATCTAAATAATCTCCTTTTTTGCTTAAAATGGTAGACCTTCATTTACATTTGACAAAGTGTGGAATTGGGTTTGTACTCACAAAGCATGTTTTGATCTTATTCTAAGTAGGCCTCTCACCCTACCAGATGACACCCAGACCTGTGACCATAGTGTGCAACTGACCTGAGCCTGATCCAGTATGCCCTGAATCCTGGCCAAAAGCTTGTTCCTCTGCTGGTTCTGTCTGTCCACTTCCAGTTGGACCGCCTTCTGTCTGTAGCCACACATCTCGTTCCACTGCTCTGCATTCAGCTGGAAAATGAAAATACATTCGGTTGCGGCTTTTGTTGTTTGTTTTTCAGCATTTAATTTTCAAAAATACGCATGTTTATTCAGCTGAAAGAGGCCCCGTTTTTCACTTTGTACCTAAAAATGTTATTACAGATGAGAAATATACTGGAAGAATTCAGCCTTCTTCCAGTATATTTTGTGTATCTTCTTCTGGATGGAAGCGAGACTGATGCTGGACTCTTCCTGCAAACTTATTTAGTCAGCAATCACAAGCGAATGGATTTTTTCTGACAAACATCAAACAGCCCTGATGTTCCACGTTCGCACTGTTTCCCTTTGCCAGCTGCTGACCTAACAGGCTGTTCCCACAGCAGAGGCTTTGGCTTGTCTTAGCAGTAAATGCAATGGATGCACGAGTAAGTTTACCTAAATGGAATGCATTTTACAGTTTTATGGCAAGCCAAAAAGTCTGCTGTGAGAAGCTCTGTTGTCATAAAGCAGTTCATATATTCATTCATCCGATTTGCTCACAAACAGATGTTTCATTCAGTTTAAACTGTGAACTCTCACATGCATCTACATCTTGTGTAATCCATTTAGCATGGGCTTCCAAGCCTGTCTATCTCTTCCTTACCAGAGGTGAAAGCGCAGCTCTTCCATAGAAGTGGATGACAGAGCGAGCCTTCAGGGAACATGATGGCTCGCATGTAGTCTTCTTGAATTTCCCCTCCTCCTGCAATAATGCCAGACTCCGCAGACAGAACTCCTCATAGCTTTCCATCTCTGGACACCCGCACATCCACACTCTGAGTAGGACACACACACCATGTAGCCTCGTGGCCGAGCTGTTAAATTAAATGGAGAGCGAGAGATTAAAAGGGAGGGTCCGTGTGAGGCTGCACTACACTGGGGTTTGACCGACGAGCCGAAACCATGTGGGTAAATGTGACAAATCACCTACAACAAAAGCCAGTCTGTCTGTCCTCTGTGATTTTATCACACTCATCACATTCCTGCCATTCCTTTGCTTTCTGTCATACTTTGCTGGTGCCTGTCTTCCATTTCCATGTTTTGTGGAAATGCAAAAGGGACTCGTGTGTCTGATCAATACTGTTTCTATTTCTGAAATGTCTGTCAGCAAATGACAGTAGTCTGAAGACTACTCACAGACAGGTAGGGCGTTTGCGTAAGCAGACAGCTCCTGTGTGGATTCAATTAAAACAATGTGCCTTTGAAATAAGCGTGAGTGTTACTGGCTCTATGCAGCATATCTAATCTATTGGACAGGTTTGAATTCAACCAGCAGGTCCTAATGATGCTGCTGCTGGTCTTCAGACGCCTAATTACACTAGCCAATCCACGCTTGTTCTTCCATCCGGCAGAGCAGAGGTGGGGATCGTTTTCTTTGTGTATCTGGTATTACAGAGAAAGCTTAATTTCGGCAGCTTTTATGTTAATATTTAAGCATTATCCAGTTTTGCTGTCTTTGGAAGCTAAAAAAGACGTCTTAGTGCAGATACCCCCTGCAGAATGACAGCGGATACCCGGCGCTTATTCTTACCTACTCAGTGGAGAAACACTAATATCGCCCTCCTGTCTTCCAGCAGGGACTGTCAGACACGGACAGATGTCGCAGGGAAACACAAACTGGAGGCTTTATCGGTGAGACTCACGTCTCTCTCCTCAATCTCGGTTCGATCGTCTTCATCACCATGCTCAACTCTTCCGGGCTCCAACAGCGCCTCCTAGCAACAGCACGCGGGCCACGTTCCAATCTGATTCCCCGAGCAAGTCAAAGGCTCTCGTTCCAATAAGCTCAATGCCACCTGCCCTCTTTTCCCCTTCATTTCTCAGTGAATGCAATAGAATTAGGCTATATCCTAGCAGGGCTACTTTATCACACGCTCTTTGTTTTTACTATGTTGTTATCTGCTCATAGCCTCGAGTTAATAGTGCTCAAGAGGATAACGAGTTCTTGGCAAATGAGTCTACATAAATATCATTAATATGATCTGCTTGCAGCTATTCTCTACTGTGTTAAACAAATCTCAGTTTAAAATTTTATAATGTATATAATTTATTTATTTATTGTTATGAGTGATTAGATGAATTATTTAATGTGCCAAGTATTTAAAAAACTGGATGATCTTGGGGGAAAATAATGTAATTTATGTACCACTCTCCTTACTGTACATTGTGCAGCGTTTTGTAGTCTGAAACTTTATGAATTAATGAATTTATGTAATTTAAGTCCTATTTTAATCGTCCTCTTCTGCATGACAACCACTAAATATGAAGTGACAAAACAGGTGCGCCTTCTAGTAATGTGTACAGCAAATTTCTCACATTTTACAACCAATTATGCGCATATAAAAGGGGTGGGAGCAAAGAAGATGCTCTGTTGTGTGTATTACACAGAATACACTGTCCTCCAAACCACATAAAATGAAACATGTTTATCGATGTTACACATGCATTAAAAACTGTAAGACTGCAAAGGTCAGTGCATAGGTTGTCATAGAAGGTAAACAGCAAAATCATCAGATGAGTTGAGTCCTTGATCAACAGATGGCAGTTAGCGGTGACTGTACTGAGGACGTAAAAGAATACAAGTACTTAGGGACAGTGACTGAAGAAAAACTGGCAGGATTCAAAAGCTAGATTACAATGATTATACTTCAAGAGGAGTTTGAGACAGACATACGCTGGTTCTTTTTTTCTTTTTCTTTTTTGTTTGTTTTTTTGCAGAGAGCATTCTAACTTCTTGTTTTATTGCATGGTATTTTTCACTGTCTGTAGTTAACAAGAACAAACTGAGTAGGATTACAAACATGGACAGAAAGATTTGAGGTCAGCTACAACACAGTACGATTCACCTTTGGGAGTCCTGAGTGGTGAATAAGGGGTGATGTATCCTTAGCAATGTGTCACACCTTCTTCATCATGAAGACACCTTGCTAACATCATGACAGAAGTACAGGGTACCACTTTTGTATGTATCGTGTGCCCAGAGGACTTTTATACCTTGTAAATGGACTGGTTCTTATAGCGCTTTTTTACTCTATCTGAGCACTCAAAGCACTTTATACAACTTGTACATTCACACAAGCACTTTTTTCTATGCTGTTCCTAAGTGCTTCATATCAGACATTCACACCTCCAATAGATGCATCAGAGAGCACCATGATGTTAGTATTTGCCCAAGGATATTTGGCATGGAGCAGACTTGGATCGAACCACCAACCTTCCGGTTAGTAGTTTACCTGAGCCACCTTAGTTACAACCATCCCAAGGTAACACAGCTGATATTACATGGGTGTGATTTGCACACAGCTGTGGTTTGTTTTTACTATTACTTATTGTTAATACCTTGAATTTCTGTAACTGTGGAGTCTTTATTGTTGTGGTTGTATTTGCCTGGCCTGGATTTTTGGTGTCCAAAAGGCAAACTACTTTTCTGAAGAAGATATTGAATCTGCACACTTGTGATGAAATTGCTTATAGTGCAATAATACATCCTTATGTCTTCCTTTGTGTCCCACTTTTATTTTTTATTTTTTGGAGTTTTGCATTTTTCTATGAATTTTCTGAAAGAAGTGCATTAGAAATTGTTGTTGTTTTAATGGTTAGTAACATCCCGAAGAATAATAAAGAAGAAAAGAATGAAGTCAAGTGGGAGCACCTTAAAAATGTTTTAGAATTCCTATTGTAAACAGGTGACTGCAAATGGCAAAGAATAGATTCATTTTCCAGCAGGCAACAGACCTCTTATTATCTTAAGAAAGACATAGGAAAACAGGTTAAATCACTTCAGATGCACTTTGGAAGTTCCTGCTTCTGTCAGGGAAAAGTGAGGGCTTCCCAAGGCTTGAAATATAAACTTCCCCTTTATCAATTTTATATAATTTGTTCATTAATGAATATACACTCCTTATCTGAGGCTGAATAAATTCTTTAGAAAAGTAACAACTCAACACAGCATAAGGTATAATTTAAAGACAAAATTATTGGTTTATGTTTTTTTAGTGATTTATTTATTTTACTGATGTCCAGAATTTACAGTAGTAAACAGTAGATGATGCTGAAATTCTCAGAGTTCATCTCCTGTGTGCACAGGGGAACCTGAATGTATCGGCTGAGCAATGCGAACATTTTCCTTGTTGTCCCGAAGTAAAGCATCAATGTCACTTTCAGTAAAAGCGCCTTTAGAATCCTGCCACAAAAGCAAAATGTTAAGAGCAAATTTGTGTACTTGAAAAACACGAAGTTCACGTTTCACAACTGGCTACTCGCTCACTGACAGCTTACCTCAAAAGTCTGGCGTTTAACCCCCACACATGAGTTGGACTGCTCATAACACAGAGCTATATCCAGATTCTTCGGCTCTTTGTTCACCAGAGCTTCATAGAACTGGCCACGGTGAGACTCTGAATGGCAAATCCAGAATAAGTTCTTGAATACAAGATAAATTACTTGACATATCTGATGTTATCTTACCTAACAAGTGTCTGCAGGCTGATGTCAGTTTGTCCTTAGAGACATGGTGACTGTGAGGCAGAGGTTTCTCACACAACGCCCCACTGATGAGGCGTTTAACAACTGCGTTTCTGCTCTTAACTGGGGCTTCCTTGATGGATTTCTCAAGCTCTGTAAGGTATTTATAGACTGTGACTTGCTTTCCCCTTTCCTTTTGTCTTTTGTTTTCTATTTGTATTCCTGGCTATCCCATTTGTTAGATTGTGCTACTGGGTTATCAGAAACCATTAATAAAAAAGCTCTTAGCCATAATGATTTATTGTCCAACATACCTTGTGCCACTGTTAAACAAGTCTCACAGTAGGTGTCTGTTAATAATAGAACAGTTAACAGAGGCACTCTTCAGCAGAAACCGAACTACATATTATCTGATGACTGAGGAAACCAAGGTGACTGTAGTGTTTACTTACAGTGATCTATCTCTTCAGGCTGCACAGGAAGAAGAAGGCACACAAACAGCACAAAAATAGCTATTTTCATGGTGACTGTACACCAAACATGTAAACTGTGAACACTGTAGCAGCTATCTGCACACTACGAAACAGACGAGAAGAAGTCAACTGCACCCAGCTGTCTTCCCTTTCATAAAATGTTGTCACGTGATCTTAGAGACAATGGGATCACATCACCACCATTCCACAAGTGACAGGTGTCTTGTTTTTCAGGTTTTCCTTTTCTAAAAATATTGCCCGGAGTCTTCACTCTGCTCTGGATAGGGGTCTGTGAAGAACACAGTTTAGCATAGGCTTGATAAATGCATGCAATATTAAATGTCAAAAGATGAATTAAGAGGTACAGTACTTTTAATAACAGGTGTGGGGTGGGTGCATTTGTTCATTGATCATTTGCTATTCATGTTTTCATCATCATTCATGGGGTTTTTTTTACAACAAAAAGAGTAAATTAAACTCTATTAAAAAATTTGTTTCAACACTGATATAAAATGCTAATTATAAGTCTTTGCACCCAGAGACAGGATTAGAAATGAAGATAAGATAAGCGAATTTGTCGCATGGTTGGGAAATTCCTGTTATTACAGCAGCAAAATGAATAGAGCAGGAATAAAAAAATAACCTATATGAGTAATACTATACAGTGGAGACAAATGTACACTTTACAATATACATATATGTATGTGTGTGTGTGTGTGTGTGTGTGTGTGTGTGTGTGTGTGTGTGTGTGTGT